AATCTTGTTTGTTTGTTTGTTTTTCTTCCGGTCCCAGGCATCGAACTCATGACCTTGCGCTTTCCAAGCAGGCACTTTGCTACTGAGCTAAATCCCTAGTCCCTATTTGGTTAAATCTTTATCAATGTATATAAACCTGTACACTTCCCAAATACAATCAAGAATTCAGCTCAGGAAAAAGCACTCTTTTAGGAACTTTCCATCTACTTCTGTGCATGGGACATATTTAGATAAAACCGATTAAGTGTTTGGCTTTACTGTATTTTCTGAGTTTGAGGCTGTAGAACTTTCTCATTGCTCAAGTGAGTTTTTAATCTCCTTTCTTAAATCCATTCAAAGTTCAAGAGAACAGGTAGAGGTAGAGCATACCAGAAAGGGGAGGGAAGGCAGAAGAGAGCACAAAAATCCACGGAAACCAATGTTTTCCATTGTTATTTCTTAGTTTGTAGATGAAGTCAGAAAATAGTCATAATTAATCTAACACTTTCTCTGATCTTTTTTTTTAAACATCAACACATTTCAGTAAAACCACAACTGTTTTCACTCTTTCTGCCTTCCACTTCGAACTTCTTTTCAGAGGGATAATGAGTCTGGATATTCCGTTCATTCTCACACCTAACCTTTTTTATATAGCATAATACAAGTGCTTTTAATACAAGTGCTTTTGTTCCTTCTGTTATTCATTCCTATTATTAACCAAGGAAACTTTGAACTCCTCTCTAATGAGAACAATAATTCTAGTGCTTGGCTCACTCTCTCCAATTTCTAAAATCCCATTTTGTCCCGGACCTCGGGCAATTCAGTCCGAAATTCCTCTTGAATACAAGTTTTATGTTTCCTACCCCCGGGTTCTTACAATATCACATCTAATTTACCAATTAATTTTGCTTAGAATCATTAATCTTGTCTTTTGTTTATGTTCAAAATCCTTTATCTCCCCAAAGTGCTTTCAATGGTTTTCTAAGCCTGTGTTATGTCTTACTTTGCAGCTTTGGAGTTTGTTGATAAATTAAAGTTCTCTATGTATTGAAATGTCTTCCTTCAGCTTTCAAAGAGAAAAGATGACTTGGCCAGGCTTGGTGTTTGTGGAAATTGCAGCATTTATCTGCGTTTTGTGTAAACCTTTCTTCCTAGTTCTCATGTACAAATGCTAAGGGTAAGATGAAGACTTAAGAACATTGTAAGTCTCTCTTTGCAAAATTTTATTCACCTTTATCTTTCCCCGTCTCGGAGCATAAAACTTTTGCCAGTGGGTATCTTAGAGAAGGGAGGAAGATTAGCGTTTGTCAGGTTGGGAGGGATCCGTGGTCAGTTGGTTTTTTGTTTTTTGGGTTTTCTTCTATAGTGTTTTTTGGTCCGTTTTCTGGGATTGGACAAAAGAATATCACAGGAAAAAAAAAAACCCACAACTTTGGCCCCTGACCAATCTGACTTAGAATTTCAGCACTGCCGTCCTTTAGCTGCCTGAGCCCACCTCCTTCTCTGGTGGATTGAGGTGTGTGGTGGATTGAGGTGTGTGAGGGGCACGTGGTACACAGCTGGATTGACAGCTGTCTGCCTGGAACCCATCATCTAACTGCATAACCTCGAACAAGTTACTGAAGTGATGTTTCTACACCTCAAGGTTTTCTTGTATAAAATGAGATAATAAAAGTACTTCATAGAACTGTACAATTATGTAAATTTAATATTAAAGTTACCTGGAACTATGACTTCCTCTGGTTGGCACTATGCAGGGGCACTACGTATTGGCAAACCACCTAGAACTATGACTTTCATTTGGTAAGCAATGTACATGTCAAACTGGCTATTATTATTATCACTACTGTTATTAGTGTTGTCACTGTTGTCTATGTATCTCTCAAATAGCCATGCTGAGGTTGTAAGAAAACTTTTCTGAGCTCAGCAAATGCTTTGCAGAGTAGGTAATCAACACCTCTGTTGCTGAATTATTCATTCTGACCTGGCTGATCTGGAAAAGGGCCCTCTATTTCCACATTTGGTTGCACTATTCAACACACTTGTTTATACTTCTTGTTTCAGGGGCTTTGTTTTCTCAACTGTTGCATCACTGACAAAATTTACCCACAGCTTTCACACCTTTATAATCTCACACTTGTTCATTTTTGAACATGATATCTGCTGCAAACATTTTACAAGTTTAACCTTTTCTCGGTCTGTTCTTCAACATTATCGGCAATTTCTTACTTTATCCAGTGCTTGATAAGGAACTTAAAATTTATTGTGAATATTTTCCCAAAGCCGTGTTCCGATTAAAAGAAAAATCTATACAAAAAGCTTACCACCGAGCCGGGTACTTAGAAAGCATCTAATAAGTTTAGTGTTGCTATTATTAAATATTTTTTATAAATTATCTAATTTTCTCACAGGGTATAACCTATGAGAAAAAAACTCCCAATTTTGTATGTGAAATAACTGATACTCTGAGGGATAAATAGAGCAAGCTCACAATTGAGTCACATGAGAGAGAAAGAAGGGATTCAAACTATGGTCTATCTTATCCCAAAACACTGTTTCTACTATATTTAAGGGGGCTTCGCCGTGGCTCTTTCACAGCTTTCATAACAAGTTTGGACTGATTCCCACTGCCTTTTCAGTCTCTGGGTGGAAATATTACTTTTTTATTTAATATGAGCATTCTCCTGGGATCTGTTGGCATCTGTCCACATCTACTTCCATTTGGGGTGATAGCCTTAAAAACAGAGCAAAACCGAGCAAAAGACCCCAGGCTCCTGCTTTTCTTAACAGGTGTTCACAAAGCTCTCAAGTCAAATAGTTGTAGCTTCAGATCCCAGCTCTGCACCGACTGGCTCCCGGGTTGCTGTGCACCCCTCTGCAGGTTCCCTACACTAACTCTAGGAAGGAGGCGGCTTTATCAGCCCAGTTGATAGCTGGACAGAGAGGCGGAGAGGGCTGTGCTGCTCTATGCATGGCCACCATTGTGTAGGGGACCCCAGCACGGGCCTGGGGCTCTGTCACCCTCTGGGCCACAGCGGTGGTCTGTAGAGTAGGAGGCTGTCCCCACCCCAACACACGCGCTCGGACACACATGTGCACACTGCTTTGCAACGACCTTGTCTTCATTTCTGCTGCTTTCTCCAGCCCATCGTGGATTCTGCTTTTGCCTCGATGTGTTTTCACTCAGAGACTGAGCACCTTGTAGATGCTCCTGTGGCTGCAGGATACCGTTCCATACCTCGTTGTTATTAAGCCCGACAGAAACCAGCCACACCACACATCTCTGTGCTTTTTTGCCTAGCATCGTGGAAGTTCAAGAGAGACAATTCTTGAATGATTAGCACATTAATCATTGTAACAGAAAGATCTGAAGCAATTAAAGCAAACTGTTAGCATCTCTTCAGCCTGACTGGTGGGTACACAGGTGTCGGGTCATTTCCTATATGTCTCTGTAAGTTTGAAATATCTCATAAATTAAGCGGAAAGTAACTGTTAATAAAAAAGCTTGTGGCATCTTACAAAACACAAGCAAAACGTGGCTGTTCTCACAGAGTTCCTACTCAGAGAATGAAAATATTTGTTGCACAGTGGAACACAAGTAAACACAGCCAAGTATTTCAATGGATAATTACACCCCTAGCAGATTCGTTATTGCTGGTTATTTTCCCCAAGGTTTTGAAATATACACATCGCTACTCCTCTGGCTGGGGATTCCGGGGTCCTCCTCTACAGTTAAAAGAATGGCCTTAGATGGATACCAAGGTATGAGACCAGTCTGGAAATGACCAGAGGGGCTAAATGACCGTATCTCAGGGGACTACACAGAAAGGCGTTCTCCACCCTCTTTCTCAAGCTAGGATGTGTGCTCCTCAGCCTCAAGGGCAAATTTACTTTCACCAAGCTTACAAGACTGAGGAATAAATTCAGAGTTTCAATACACTGTTTTACAAAAAAAAAAATCTGTCAAAGAAACATCAGGCCAACTCCCTGTAGGGAAACCTACATTGAAAATCAACTTATAATCCCAAATTTACATGACTAGCACAGCATCGGAAAAGAGGAGTTGTCAGTACCTCTGCTGAATATTTAACAATACAAGCTACATTGCCCAATGGCTCCATCTGTCTACACAAGACTAGCCAATAAAAACAAAGCCCAAAAAATTCATTAGCCAAAATTCACTCTCCTTTGCCCAGTTGCATGAACAGTGTCAAAGTTTGTCCCTGTGACTCTCATATTTCTATGCTTTAATGGCCTTCACATACTCCTGTTGCGATTGAGAGTTTGTCTCATTAAAGGTGCTGGTATACTCAACATTACAGCAGATCTTACAGGACAGTGTCACCTACAGAGGCAATTCTACCAGGTTTCTATCTTAGAGCTCATAAAACATTTTAACTGAGGTTGAGCCATAGATCATAAGCTCTTTACAAGAGCCCATGATATAATTCACAGAGCTGTTCACCGGTGTACCCCAAATTCCTTGAATGTGCAGACACTCAGGAGAAACTCAATAGATACCTCTTATGTAAAGAAAGAGAACTCTCATTTTAAAGAAAAAGATACATTTAAACTAATCGCCCACTTTGTAAATACAATCATTCAAGACCTGGGAATTTTCTCCTACATATACTTTCCTACATTTAGTCAGAATTGCTTAAAGAAAATACCCCAAAGGTCATTCATCAATCATCAGCCCCTACCTTCACTTCCTTCACCAGGTACACCAAAGAGCTCATCTGCATATTACTACAGTACATCCTAGTACCCAAATGGACAGCAGTGTCTCCTCATCTTCCCATAAGGATAACCCTCCTAACCACTCTTAGTGAAGAACAGAAATAGGTGCATGAGCATTACTAAGATATTTATAGAAACACATGGTGCTTTGCTATTACAACAGGCCCACAAACACTGTTTTTAGTGATGTCACAGGTTCTGTGCGCCATAAATCCCACAGACGGTCTTCAAAGGAAGACCTATCCTAGTATGTAGTATGTGCTAAGTGTGTTCCAACTCACCGCATACTGGAACTTTTCATTATATTCGCGATCGTTGGCTTTCACAATTCGTTCCACCTCTAAAGAGAAAGAGAAATCAGCTATGAAATTAAACCTTAGACCCTCAGAAACATACAACTTATTAAAATAATGTCACTTAGGTTACTTTGATTGCTGTCAAATTTGCAATAATTCTTTTCTTTGCAATTGAAGGTCATGGGCTTTTGCCAGCTGAAATGTTGGAACCTGTGTTGGAAAGTCCCACAATAGAAACCTGATATGTTTTCATTATATTTTTGATGCCAGCCATAAAGCAAAACATTATGTGTCTCCAAACTCTATGCCCTTCAGTGCCACAAAGGTCTTTTCTTTAAATTGCAGGTAGTTTCTAAAGGGGAAAAAGCCACTGAAAGCGAAATGAACCCTGAGGAGAAATTTTTTCACAAAGTTAAGAAAAAAATACAAGCCAGGCACAGTGGTACAAGCCTGTGATCCCAGCCTTGAGGGAGGCTGAAGCAGGGGAAGTTCATGGTCAAGTCTACTTGGGCAATTTAGCAAGATCTTGTCTCAGAATAAAAAATAAAATAGGCTAAAGATGTAGCTTATATGTAGCTCCCATGGTCCTGGGTTCAATCCCCAGCACTAAAAAAAAAAATAATCACAGCGAAATAAACTCATACAGAAGTGACCAGTGAGGTCATGGAACCAGAGGTGGTATTTCAAAACAACACAGGCACAGCAAGAGAAATGCTGGGGCTAGGGTGTAGCTTAGTGATAGCGCACTTGCCAATGTAATCAAGGCCATTGTTTTGATTCCTAGAACTGAAAAGTATAAAATAAAATTTTAAAGAAAATTAAAGAAAAATGTTATATAATTAAGAGACCAAGATCTGCCTTTAACCAGAAGTAGCCAAAGAATCAAATCTCTTCAAAAAGCACATGTAAATACCAGTACACATAACAAAGTAAATGGACCGCAAGCCCAAAGATTATAACAGTGCAAAAATAAAAAATTGCAGAGAAGAGACAGCGCCCAGAAACAGCGGCACTGCGGGTTTTGTAGAAAGGATATCAGGCTCTTTCTCCCCCATGTTCACCGGCTGTTACCACCAGACTTGATCACAGGCTCATGAGAGACGAACGAAAGTTGTGGGGAAAATCAGCAAGTAATCACCAGATGTCCATGTTGGACTCTTGTGGTAACTGAACCGGTTCACATGGGGCTCCAAGACCCTGCATTCTCTGAGTGAGTGACAGGGGTTAACAGAGAAGGCACATGCAGCCTGAGCTAAGGAGACTGGAGGGTGGAAAGGGCTTGGAGGCCCATGTTACGAACAAGAAGACAGAGATGAAAAGAGCGGGAAGTAGAAGGGAAATGGGAAACATAAAGGCACTGATGAGGAAAAGGAAGGAAGGAAAGAAAGAAGGAAGGAAGGAAGGAAGGAAGGAAGGAAGGAAGGAAAGAAGGAAGGAAGGAAGGAGGAAGGAAGTAAGGGAGGAAGGAAGGGAGGAAGGAAGGAAGGAAGGAAGGAGGAAGAAGGAAGGAAGGAAAGTAGGAAGGAAGGATGGAAGGAAGCAAGGATAGAAGGATGGATGGAAGGAAGGAAGGAAGGGAGGAAGGAAGATACCTATACTTTAGCGCCCACACCTGCCCATAGGCCAGACACCAGGAATTGTGTGAACTACTTTTTCTGAAAGTCCAGGAGGAATCTAAATGTCTCAGCTCCCATGGGTGAAGGTCACATCTGAGGACTGTGCCTGACAAATGACACCTTGTATTTTGGGTCACAGCAGGGTGTCTACGTGTGTAGGGGGTCTTGTCTGTCTGGCACCCACCTATGTGGTTTCTATCTCACTTCTCTAGTAAAGTCAGCTCCCTGGGATTTTTCCTTTTTTCCAATCTGACTCACCCAGCTGCTGATAAGGAAAATACTAGACTGATGTCAACAGCTGGCCAGCGCTGGGTGGGCTTGTCACTATCATGCATAACTCTGAAATCCACAACCCGCAAAGAAGCAACCTCTCAACCACTCACTCATTGAAGCAATGCTTCAAACACTGGCTGTAAAAGTACAACCCTTCCTTTTTGTTGATTCCCCAACAAAGAGCTAAAATGTCAAAGCCCAAGGTGGTCCTATGGAGGATGAGATGACTTAAAACCTTAAAAGTGTCAATAATGTGTGCATCTATCCCTACCTCAGCCCAGGAACGGTAAGACTGTTGAGAGGAAAACAATGGACAGTGTTGGGAGGGTGGGGATGAGGTCTTCTTTCTGAATGGCAAATGTTAACCCGGCCCACTGACCTGCTGCGCATAATTTATAGATTAACTTTGACTCCAAATCAAAACTCAGATATATATGCCAATTTGAATGTGCCTTGGCCTTAGCTTAGATGATGCACATTCAGAGGATGATCATTTTGAAATTTCACATTTGTAGGAAGCACATCCAATAGCCTAGTTTCATGCCCAAGTTTACCTACTCCAAGTACCAACATCTTGACTTCATGAGCCAAATGGGGGACTGTCTACCCAGCATCCTCACGTAGCCACACTCTGTAATGAGTGGGACCAGCTCTCTCCCAGTGTGGTTCCCATGAAGGGTTGCTATGGTGATTCCTATGAAAGGTGATTCTTATGATGACTCCTATGAATGATTCCTGAGTGACTCCTATGGTAGGTCCCTTGGAACCCTCTTCTCGGTGTCTACCTTGCTCTTGTCCCTTAAGACTTGTTAAGATCCAGGAAGTCCTCTTTCTGCTTCCAAATTCTTATGATTAAGCCTCACTTATTGCTGTTGTATGTCCAATACAGTCCTTTCTGAACTGAGCTTTCAAGGATTAATTTTGGCAGGAGATTTCGCATCCTTTCCGTAAGCTCTGCAAAATTCTGGCATTTGTTCAAAATCCCTGCTGCTTTCTGCCCGTCACCTGACCCTGGTAGGCCCGAATTGTCTTGGCAGCTTAGTTCTCTTCCTTATGCTAGCACAGTGTCTGAGGGCTCTAAAGCCTTCTCAACAATAAGTCAGTGCTGCAGGGGAAGCTGCTAGAAACAAATCCCCCCAACAGCTCCGACTGAACAGGCTCAGAGGTGTGATGACTTAATACTTGGCCTTTTTTAGGCACTGTGGGACCCTCCAGAGATGATCTCAGTCATAGGAGGACAGTGCGGACCAAGTATTAATGACTTACCAGCGTGCCCTCACTTGCAGCATCACTGAATTTTGTTGGCTCCAAAAAAGGAGTAAAGTGATACACGAGGATGTATAAAATACAGTAAGGCCTCACATCAGGTAGAATAAAAGAAGTGAAAGAGCTTCCAGTTTAAGATGGCAAAATGAGTATACCATTTATCTGCCTTACTTCTGAAATTACAGAAAATATAGAGGTTTTTTAAGAATAAAAACATAACATTTGCTAGAAAACAAAAGTTTGGCTGGGAGAGGTTGTATATTTTGAATAAAGCTTAGAAAACAAACTAGAAACAAAAATGAAACCGTTATGACTGGGGAGGAGGAGACAGGAGTAACTTCAGCCAACAGAAATGGAAGAGTGAACTTCCCAGTGGAGTCCCAGAGGGGTCTCAAATTCAGGCCCCGCAAGGACAGAGATGGAGAGCGTGCTATGGACAGGGTGACAATCCCAGTTTACGCCTGTTTTCTCAGCAAAGTAATAGCAGGTTCCCCTATCATTCTCAAAAGTGTCTCAGTTTAGATGACAAGTTATATTATTATTTTGGTTATGGAAAATCATCAAGTAATCAAGTAGTAGATAAGTCAGCTGGATCCTCCTGCACTCTGTCTTTGCCCACTAATGAGAGTAGGTGACGGTCCAGAGGGAGACACCAAGGATATGTGTCCAGGCCTAAAAGAGAAGCTTCTCCAGTTCACCATGGCAGCCCCAGTAGACCTGGCCCCTACCAAGCCCTGCCTTACCAGGTGGCTGTGGGATTTGACAGGCTGCCCACCCACCCACCAAAAGTCTTCCCTGTCAGCTGCCTGCTTGCCGAAGAAATCTGGCAGGAAAAAAACCTTTTTCAACCATACTAATCCATTCAGTGCTTCACCTGTAAACACAAGCCGGTAACCATAGGTCACTGGAGAAAAACTAACAGCACGAAGAAAGGGATCTAAGGAGCAAAGACAATGCTGAGAACAGGTGGGGAAAGGGGTTGGTTTTTCCTTTTAATCCTAATTAGCACCTTGCAGATCTGCAAGAAGACAGCCACAAAACAAGAACAAGCCAATAGGAACAAAGAAAACAATAAAAATGAGTTTCAGGAGATTGAAAATATTTAATGGACAAATTAGAGTGGATAAGATTAAAGAAATCTCTTTATACATCAAAGTGGCAAACTAAAGGATAATAATATTAGGGTCCTCTTTCATTCTCAAAAGTTGATTTCTATAAGAAGATAAAACTTAGGAGAAGTGAAGGTAGACAAAGGATGAAAGGAAATAGATAAATAGAAGAAATATTCCCTCCATTGGAATAAGACACAACTCTTAGACGTGAAAGGCCACCAAGTGCCAGTCAGGATGACAGACAGAGGCCAGGTCATGAAATTCTGAGCTCCAAGGACAAGGGGGAAAATCCGAACAATTTCTAGAAAGAAAATGATTTGATTAACCCCAAAGACACAAGAACAAGACTAAGATGAAATTGCTCATCATCAACAAGGTTTCTAGCAGACACTGGGGAGATGCCTTTCTGTTTTAAGGAAAAATGCTTTTGAAGTTAAAATTTTATATCCAGGCAAGCAAACAATCAGTTGTGCATGGGGGAATGAAGACATTTTCTGACATCCAAGAGCATCTTCAAAATAACTACTTAAGCATGTGCAAGAGAAAAATGAATGTTCAAATTTTGAAATTAGAGAGGAGTAGGAGAGATAGAAGCAAGGGTGATGATTTGCCAGCGTTAAGAATGATAATAAAAATGCAAGACATAAAGGTCTACACACCTGCTCAAAGTGAACCCAGATCTACAGAAAAAGGGAATCTTTGTCTATTGTTCTCTCGTTCGTAGCGTTAGCCAATAAATCCATTTCTCCTGAAAAGTAAAATTGTTACTAGTTCTTG